AGATTGTAAATTCCTCTATTTGTAATTTGTGCAGAATGTAACACTGGCAAATACCTTTGATGACTATGTTTCCCCTGCTCTTAGGCCTGACTTCTTGTTGATGCTCAGTGTCATTGAACTATTCATCTTTGGGCTTTTTAGGTCTCTTTATGGTGGTGACTGAACAGCGCAGATGTGGTGCCTTGGTGGAGAAAGTTTCTAGAAGCTTGGAAGAAAGGGGGAGGAGAGAATGAGATGGGACAGTACAGTAACTTGATAGCGTAGAAGGGTCCTGTGAATTTTTGTTTCTCTTCCTATTTCCCATAATGTGAAAATAATACCCACTATGTAGATGACAGGCAGTAAATATTTGTGGAAAAAATAAATGAATATACTAGGTAAAGTCCATAGAAAATTTACCCTCCTTCATTTTCTCATTGTGAAAGACAGTGAGAAAACCACAGAGATGGAATACATTCTGAACTGATGAGCATATACTGCCACTATTTCAAAGATTTGCACATACTGTTTGCTTTAAATTCCTAATACATTGCCTCAACTCCTGAAAACAAATTTTCTCAATTATGTATTTGAGTATTCACTTTGGTTGTCTGCACATAGCATTCTGTTCCTTTCATTTCACAAGAAATCATTTTTAAAATCAATTGACTTTTAATTAAGTACCATTAAAGTTTTGCGATCATTATGTTTAATTTATTTTATTATAATGTGCCATAACACCCTCCCCCCTTTGTAGATAGTAATTCAAAGAAAAATAGGTCCTTTATTTTTAACTTTTAATAGAATTAGCACAAATATGAGGCATACTTCTTTGAGAACAGTGACAATAAGATCATGTACCACTGTACTCATTCACCTAAAAATCCAATGCATTTTTAACTGATGATTATTAGGCCAGTTTAGAATTTATTTCAATTGAGTCATTACTAGCAGAGGTTATTCAGTGTTCTTGAAATAAAGAAACGTTGAGGGTGAAAGTGATTAGATGCCTTATAACGTGATTTTTTTTTTAAAGAATATTCTCTTCATTTAGTGGTTTATTATGACAAACAACCATAGTCAAATGGATAACTTAGGATTGGAAAAAAGCCCAACAGCAAGTCTAGTCTTTTTATGTTTCCCCACATTTCTCACAGCTTTGCCAGTCTCTTTCTGTACACAGTTGCAAAGTGGCTTCAAATTGCAGTGCACTGTAGCAGGTGTGCTTTGAAGCTTTCCCAGTTTGATAGAAGTGCAGGAAATCTCAAGGTTGTTGACTGAATTCAATTTTTTTTTTTTGCCAGTCAGGATTAAGTGACTTGCCCAGGGTCACACAGCTAGTAACTGTTTGAGACCAGATCTTATTTCAGATCCCCCTCACTCCAGGACCAGTGCTGTATCTACTGTGCCACCTAGCTACCTCTCAGTTCAACCTTTTAACAGAATTACAGACCTTTTACAGTCTTCTTTCGATAATAAATAGATTGATAGACAAATGACATTTATTAAATATTTTCTATGTGCCAAGCACCGGGGTACGAATACAAAAACCAAGACTGTTCCTGCCCTCAAGAAGCTTACAGTCTAATGGGGAAAGAGAGCTAAAGGGGAGCTGAAGGGGTGGAGGGATAGGAGGAAGAGCTTTGGAGGCCTGAATCCAAGCAAGATAAGGTCAAAGCTTGCCAATAAAATCCTTGGGTGGATCCAGGTGTGAAGTCCAGTTTTCCCTTTGGGAGAGGATAGAGATGGTAGTGAGACTGGACATGAATGAAGAAGTCCTGGCATGGTAATAATGGGGAATTTTCAGGTATATGATCTTATAATCCCTTCAATGTATTTTTTACCACTTTAGGATACTGTGGATCTAATGAATTGGATGCTTTATATAGTAGGGATTGGCAATGAAAAGTGTTTTGATTAATTGTTTAAAGGAGGTAAATACTGTATGACATACAGTATTACTCTGTGTGGCCAACAATGTTATTTCTTTAGAGATAAGCTATGGTTGTTGAGTGGCATTTCTCTAGTGGCTTAACTCTCTGGGAGATCCAACAGCCTAACTCTCTGAATTTTCATATTACTTTATTTGAACCTTTCTCATTCTTTCAGCACATTTGAATTTGGGTTGTAAGTTACCTGGTTTCTAGATCTTATCTGCCTTACTAGTAAGATTGTATGTTCTGTGAGGTTTCAGATGACCTGGTGTCTGATTTTTGTGTCCCTATCTCCTTGATGTTAATAATGATTTGTATATGGTAGGTGTTTAATAAATATTTGCCAGATTTGTAGATAAAAAGCTTGTTATCTCTAAGGTTCTTTCTAGTTCCAAAGTTCTCAGTGTCTGCTGAATTGAAATTTTTTCCTGTAAAGGGTGTTTTCATTCATTGTTTATTTCCACCCCTGCAATATAATGTCCCCATTAGGATCCTCCTAGGCATTTGATGGGAGTTGGGGTTACAAAAACAAATGTCTTCTAATGGATAGATAAAATTAATGCTGGCCTAGATGTAATTAAAAATCAAAATTCTATGCATATATTTTCCACTATAAGTATGGGAGTCTTATAGTCTATGATTATGAGATGTATCAGTCATAACTGATAGTTGACTGACACCACTAATGTTCCAGAATAATTTTCTTAGGTCTAACCTTATACCTTTCCTCAAGAGTAGAACCTTTAGAATTCTCTAAAAGGTTGAACATTTAAATTCTTGGTTATAAGGTATGGTTCTCTGGCAGGCGGGATGGGAAGAAACATAGAGGGAAATCTAGATAATTTTAAAAGCAAGGAATAACAGAACGTCTATTTATTTTAAAAAGTTGAAATTCAAGTCTAGGATATAAATTTAAAAGGAAAAGTTAACAAATTTTAAACTGCATAAAGGAGTTTCAGAACTATTGTGATTCTCATACTTTTTTAAAAAATAGTAATATTTGGTGACCTTGAGTTTCTTTCTGTGGTTCCTTCCTCATCTTTCCCCCACCCTGCCAAATTCTTCTTTCCTTTATCTCCTCTTCCCCTCATAGACTTTTTCCCTTTTATTTCTCTATTCACCTGCACTTTCCATCTGTCATCTTCTGTTTTTCCTTCCTTTCGTGCTTAGTTGTTGGTTTCAAGCCCTCTTACCTTTCTCAGGTTTGTCTTTTTTCTTAACCACACATAATATAAAGCTAATCTTATTTTGTTATTTAGATTTATTGGATAAAATTTTAGTTTGCTTGTTTTAAAACTGAAAGGAACATTTTTATATTTCCTTTATTTTGCAAATAAAGACAAAAATTACACTGAAATTAAATTGTATTTTATTTTTGTGTGATTCTTATTTGTTTTCTATAGGTCAGTAGACTTTTATATAACTTTTCCCACCTCTCCACTATGGAAGTTATGCTCAGTTTCTAGATCAGTCTTATCCATAATACAATAATAATAGCTGATGTTTTATAATGATTTAAAGTTTGCAAAACATTACATGATATTATCTCACTTGTTTCTCACTGGACTAAGTAGTGTTATTCCCATTTTATAGAAAAGGAAAGCCTATAGTTACACAACTGGTGATTGTCAGAGGCAGAATTAGTTTTCAAATCTATTTTAACTCTTTCTTTCCACTTTACCATGCTGCCTCTTGCCTTGTATATGCCTTAGCTGTTGAAGGCTTTAAAAAAAAAAGGGGGACAGATTATTCTTTGAGATGATTTCATTATGTATCGTTCCAGCTCTAATATACTTTGTATGTAAAATGGCAAGAGTGAAATCCTGATTAGGATAAACTACTGTCAGTCGAAATTGTAGTTTCAAGCATAGTTTGATTTTCCTGTGCAAGGTCCAAAGTTTGTTTGTTGTTTTGTATTTTTCCTGAGCATAATTTCTTTTAGTAGACATCATATAACCAGTTTAGATGATCAAAACAAGGCCATTAAGACTTGTTCTTATGTAGGTATGCAATAATCTACAGGGAATAAAAAGACCTTCTAAAGTCTATTGTCTTTAGTTATGGTTTCAGAATTAATGTCAAAGCTAACATAATAACTGGAGGATTGTGTGAGTACTTGTCATTTAAGTAATGTTATTTTGACACTACATAATGACCTATCTGTAATAGCACCATTTATTTTTAAAAATTCCTTGTAGGCACTATTGATATGATAGGGCAGCATAGAGATGTCAGTTTTATGGCTTTGAAGATCTACTACACATTTTGCAAATGTATTTCAGTTACATTTTGGCAGTAAAGAGACCAGGAAGATAATGCTTCTATTAAAGTGATCAACTACGCATGTAGAAATTGGGTGGGAAGATGTGTGAAAATGCTTTTAGATGAAACCCATTTTCATGTGTAAATTGCCTCTGTTGTGTATATAACTGTCTCATAATGCCTTTGGGTAATTCAGTGAGTATGGCACTGGAAGTAGTGGTTGTACATGCTGATCTCAGAGAAGGAGATGTATAAATTGCTTTATAATAAGTCTGACTGTCGACTACTCAGATGTTATTTTATATTAACCTACTTTTTCTCTATTTTTTTCCCTGTTCTTTTAAATAGTTGATTATCATTATAATTAAATCTTTTACCATTCCAGATCTTTTTTTACTTCTCATTCTTCAAAATGTTACCACGAATAAAAATAAAAGTGTCCTCCTGCCACATGAGACAATGTGCCATCATCCTTCAGAATATTAATATTTTATCAGTTGTGTTGGTTAAAACTGAACAATGAAAAAAACCTAATTTTTTTTTCATATTTGTAGTATAATCTTATCCAAATGGCTTTTTAATTATATCCCAATGAATTTCATTATAAATCATACCTTCTTATTTGATAGATACTTTTACTTTTAGAAATGCCACCAGGAAAATGGTAAAGACTAATTTTATGCTTTTTTCTTTGTTGCTTTGTTCTTCCATTGTTAACCTAAAGTGCTTCTGTTTCTTAGAAATACATGAAATTGTATTTCTTTGCTTTCTCTTTCAGTTCTGATCACCTTTGCTTTCCTTCTCTTTTTCATCTGCTTTGTACAGATTTCCTCTTCTGATGTTCTTCAGCCTTTGGTATCCTCTCCTCTGCAAGCTGCTGCTGAGAAAAACAAATTGGAGGTATCTAATTTTGTAAAAATGGAGATTGCATTTTTATTTTACTTTTTAAATTTACTTTTAAGGCCCTCTATCCTCCCCCCCCCCTTTATTGTGTGCCATAATTTGGGTAGGATAAAACATTTGATCACATTTCTCTGAGTTGCCAAAATTTAAACATGTTTCTATTTTCTAAACTACATGGACCTGTAGAGTCAGAGTCTTAATCCATACCTTTTAAAAGGCTATTTTATGTACTTACTTCTTCTCAGTTTTTTTTTTGTATTTCCATATAATTCATCTGTTTTTAGTGAGTTCTGTAGATTAACTATCTTTTGATTTTCTTTTAAAGGTTTCATATCTATAAATATTGGACAGAGATGGTATTATTAAGAATGTGCTACTAGGTCAAATTTAAAATTTTACACTAAGGCATATTGTGGGAGTTAAATATATAAATGTTAAATTGTAAAAATATAAGATGGAATGAGAAATATTTTTGTTTTCAGTAAAGAGTTTTAGTATTATAAAAGTAATTTTTAGGAATTTTGATAGACTGGTTGTGACTTGTGATCTATAATCTTTTTGAAGTTAAATGTTTTGAAGTAGCTATTCAGGTAGTCCTAGCATAAATGTTAGTATATAAACTTCTGGTGAGTAGGGATTACTTCATTTTATTTATGTCCCCAGAACATAGGAAATACTTAATAAATACTTGTTGATTGAGATACACAATTTCAAAAAGATCTTTATTCTAGAACAGTCTCAATTTGAATAAAATACAGTTTAATAGAGATAAATATAAATTTTTACTTTGGGGTTACAAAAAAGTCTGCTTCAAAAGTGGGGAGGTGTGACTAGGCAGTAGTAGTCTGTATGATCAAACAAACCTGAGGCTGTCAACTGAAAATCATTAGTTACTCTTGGAAATGGTTAATCTGGGGAAATACAAGAGAGGCAACATTGTATAATCCAGTCTCATACACTCACTAGCTGTGTGACCCTGCACAAGTCACTTAAACTGTTTGCCTCAGTTTCCTCACCTGTAAATGGGGTGTTATGAAGATCAGATGAGATTCGTGAAGCTCTTAGCACAGTGCCTGGCATATAGTAATCACTATGTAAATGTTTATAAATAGTGATGATGATGATGATGATGATGATGATGATGATGTGGATAGAGAGCCAGCCTTGAAGCCAGGAACACACATATTCAGTTGTTGCTTCAGACACGTTGTTTATACATGTCTGGGCAAGTCATGACCTCCCCCAAAGAGGGTCAGGAAGAGTAGGACAAGATGGAAAAAGACTGAACGCTCACCTAGGTGAGTGCTCTGGGTCAGTGGTGTCAAAGTCATAGAAATTTGGCTGCGGATAAGGATCCGTGCAGGCCACATACTAAGAAAACCACATATTATCTGTGTTTTATTGTATTTTTATTTATTTAGTTAAGTATTTCTCAATTACATTTTAATCTAGTTCCAACCATCTTGCAGGCAGGGAGCTGCATATTTGATACCTCTGCTCTAGACAGCACTAAGACTATAAGCTGCAGAGAAGTTGCCACCCTGTATTAGCAGAAGCTTTTTCCACACCTGGAGTTCCCCTGTGCTAGTGAAATCCCAGCTACCATTACTAATTTTGTTTTTACTGTAGGCACGTGGGTGGAACTACTGATAAATGGCTAAAAAAGCAAAGGAAATATGCTCTTAGCCTGCATCATGCTTAGGACCGATACAATGTTCTGCTCTCCTCTTCCCTTGTCCGATCACGTCTAAAGCAGTGTATTCATTGCTGGGCTCACCATTTCAGGAAGGACATTGATAAGCTGGAGGGCATCAAATGCAGTGTTTGTTTCCTCTTATTCTGCTTTCATTTGGAATGTTTTGAGCATTTTATAGGATAGTATAGGACCTATCAGATAGGCCTAGCCTAGAGTGCTTCAGTTGTGGGCTTAAATTAGTATAGAGGGATTGGGTTCCTGCCAGTCTTTAGAGAGGAGCAGTGGGAGACATGCATACTATCTTGATAGTGTGCTGAAAACAAACTGGAGAGCTGCTTCTGGGATATTCTGCCTCATTATTTCTGAACCTAGAGTTTAGACTCATGCCATTAGTACTACAGTTCAGCAGCATTTTGAATTATGTAGACTTCTGAGTTACTTTGGGAACCTAAGGACCATTTATAGTATTGCTTCTTATGGGAATGTACAGTGGGAGGTTTCAAACAACTAGCCTACAGAGGAATTTTGGAGCATAGTTGAGAACTATTCAGGTTTTATTTGCTATTTTAATGTTGTGGTTATGGTATATTTTTAAAAGAATACTGTTCTGAAGCACAATTTAGAAACATAGTTTCATTTCATCCAGTATAAAATTAGTGAATTTTTTCCTTTGCTATATTTATATCTCTCATTCTTGCTAAATCTGTATTCGTTCTGTTTGTTAATTTAATTTCTTTTCCTTTTTTTAAAAAAAAAACATTACATTAATTGCTTTTAGGAAGTAGCCCAGTTGAGCCTAAGGATGCTTTAAGGCATTAGGGAAATAGTTTTCCAAATAAAACATAGATAAACTTATCTTACTCTTTCCTTTTAATTTTTGGTAAGAGATATGTTTCTTTGCTTTGTGTCATGTAGATATAGTCCATTGAGTAAAAAGAAACACTTTAATAATACTAGTGTCTGTTGCTTAAGTATTCTGTTGCCTTTTTGATTTAGAGAATCATCTAAACATGTAGAGTCATTTTTGTTTAGTCATTTTTCAGTTGTATCCTACTCTTTGTGATCCCTTTTGGGGTTTTCTTGGCAAAGATACCAGAATGGGTTGCCATTTCTTTCTTTAGCTCATTTTACTGATGAGGAAACTGAGGCAAATAGGGTTAAGTGACTTGCCCAGGGTCACACAGCTACTAAGTATCTGATGCTACATTTCAATTCAAGAAGAGGATTCTCCCTGATCTACGCCCAGCACTCTGCTTACTATGCCACCTAGCTATCTTGTATAATCATGATAATAGCTTATTTTTATCACTTTGCAATTACCAAATGCTTTCCTGCTAACAATTCACACAAGAGTGGTGCAGGTATTATTAACCATATTTTGCAAATGGGAAGAATGAAGCTCAAAGGTGGTGAGTAATTTGACAAAAATTTTATAGCCAATTTGTGGCAGAATTGCACAGAACTGCAAACCTACTGCTCTTTTCAGAATACCTTTGCCTGTTTCCCTTTCTTAACTAATAATATTTTTAATGAACATTAATGATTCGGAACATAATTCTTAAAATGTAAAACATGTTTTTGTGAAAATAATGCTTATAATTTATTTAGACTGATAGCTTATTGGTGCTTTTTAAAATTTCGTCCATAACTTTCATTTCCCTGTTACCTGCCATCTCTTCCAATTCCTACTCCCAGCAGGACCCCCTCTAATAATGAAGAAGTGCAGTTAAGGAAAACAAGCTAAAACATTGGCTATTTCTGACCATCTGTTTTATTTTGATAATTTGGCTACCATCAAACTGTCTCTCCTCTTTTTTTAGAAAGAAAAGGACAAAAAAAAGGAAGAGAAAAAGAAAGAGAAGGAGCCAGAAAAGCCTTCAAAACCCATTTCAGCTGAAAAGGTAAAACACTTATTTTTAGAAAAGAGAATAAGGAATTCTTGTGTATTTAGAAGTGATAAACATATGACTGTTTATTGAATTTACAAATGGCTACCCAGTATCTGTTACATAAAAGACAGTATGCTAGGTGGGCATGATGGGCCAGAGGTGTGGAGGAAGAAAGATGTGCAAGATATTGCACTTATTCCAAAGGAGCTTACAGTTTCGTATGCAAAGGTAAGATACATGCACAAAAGACAAGGCAATAGGTGATAAATAATAAGAGATAAAAATAAAGTATTATGCGAATTTAGAGGAGAGAGAGAGAATACTTTTTGCTGGGATGATCAGGGAAGGATCCAAGGACATTTGTTCACTCAACAAATGTTTATTAACTACCTACTATATAAAGATTGTGGGAGTGATATAAAGTGCTATAAAGCTTAGGTAAGGCACTGTTCCAACCGTAAAAGGCTTGTAATCTAGTTTATGTAACTGTATTATGCCACATTATATAAGAAATTCATTAAGTACTGTATGAAGTCTGAAAATGAAGGGCCTTAATGACTTGGAAAATCAAGGAAGGCTTCATGGAAGAGGTGCCATTTGAGCTGAACTTTAAATAATGAATATGAACTCAAAAGGGCAAGGGAGGACCCTCCAACGATAATGAAAATCATGAGCAGAAGCAATAAGTGGGAGAGTATGGAGCAAATTTAAGGAACAAAGTGTAGGCTAGAGTGTAGAGTATATGGAGAGATGTGATAAGAAGAAAGCTGGAAAGGTCAGGTAGTGCCACATTATGTAATCTCTCTATTGCCTTGTCAAGGAGTTTGAACTTTATTTAGGAATTAATGGGAAACCTTTGAAGATTTTCAAATAGTGGGGTGACATGGCCATATTTATGAATTCAAAAGATTATTCTGGCTGTGGAATGAAGGGCTGAGCTAGGAAGAAGGCAAAGGGAAGCAGGAAGACCTGTTAGGATTCTGCTACAGTGGTCTAGTCAGATGGTGTTGAGGGTCTCTATCAGAGTGGTGCAGGTGAGGTGAGAAAACTAAGGATGGATCTAAGAGATGTTTTGTATATGAATTTGAGAGGAATTGATAACAGATTAATATGAGAAGTGATGGAGAAGAATTCGTCATAATAATCTCAAGGTTATCAACATGGGAGACTGGATGAATGTTGGTGATTCATACAAAAACAGTTAATTCAGAAGGAGGAACAGGTTTAAGGGGAAAAAGTAGGTTTGGTGTGTTAGTGGTACATCTAAGTAGAAATGTCTTGCAAATATGGTTCTCCTCTTCTCAGAAGGAAAGGTCCAGATTGCACATGTAGGCTTGGTCATGTGCTTAGAAGGGTGGTATTTGAATCCATCATAGTGAATGGAATTCTCAAGGAAAGAAAGCTTAATGAGTCAACAGAGGGAGTATAAGGACAAATCCTTGAGGAATGCCTTCATTAGTGAGTGTACTACTACATGAGTCATCTAACTAGAAAAAGAGTTATAGAAGTAGGAAAATCAGGAATAGTTTGGTACCCTTCTCCCTTTGCTTTCCTTCACCCCCTTCTGCAGCCCCAAGCCATCCCAGAACCCATCTAGGACTTCCACCACAGAGGTTGTACTCCTTTTTTTTTTTTGGTACTCCTCCTTTTCTGCTTGACTACTCAAAGCATTTGAATGAGCTGGGAGTGAACATCTATTCTTTCCAGTAATATGAAAGACTCTCTGCTCTGTACTGGCTTATAAGGGCCTCTAAACTTACTATCTACCATGCTTTTATGCCCTCTAGTCTCCTGGCACTGGTATCTGACATACTTAACTACTTAAGAACTCTTGGGCCTTGTCATCTGCCTTGTTGCTGCATCCTGAGTACTTTCAGGCTCTTTTCCTTCTGCTGTACACAATGAGCTTCTGAGAGAAGGCATAGGAATGTAGTTTGCACTTAAGGCTGAGAGACTGGATAAATGGGATAGGAGTACTAGTAAAACTAAAAATAGATTAATATGGTATAATCTTTTGGCAGAATTTAAGCATTAGATCATGAGCAGATTTAATCTACCTAAGCACAAAATGTAGTTTGGTGTTCTGGAGTTATCTTTGTGAAATCTTACCACTTGGTATGCTACTGCTGGTTGTGGATGGTGGTAGTTGTATGAGAGAGAGAGTATGTGTGTGAGTGTAATGTGTTTTCTGGCTCTATGGTGCAGTGTGAAAGCTTGGACCAATGGCTAATTAGAGGAGGGCCTTCATAAGGCTAGGTGGGATTTTAAAAGATGGGGAAAGGAGAGCATTTCAGATGGAGGGCATTTTAGGTTATGGTTAAGCATCTATGTTGAGAAAAGGACAAGGTGTGTTCAGGGAATGTTGCGTTGGCCATAATACCATGGAAATGCCAGTGACTGGTCATATTGTGGAAGGATTTGAATGGTGTTCTTAGGAATTTGTACTTTGGTGGACATTTGGAAACTTTTGAAAGTTTCTAAGTAGGGAAGTTGTCGGATCAAAGTTATACTTTAGAATTAATCTGGTGGTCAGTGAATTGGAGAGAGAATATGATAGAGGCAGAAAAAAACATTCTCATCCTCACTCTCAAGAGAGTGAAATTGTCTCTCTTCATTTATAAGGCTATTGTATTAGTCTATATATGTGGTAATGAAAACCTAAATGAGGATAGCATCGTTGAGAATGAAAAGTGATACATTGGAGATAGACTAGGGGGGTAGATTGGATGTGGTGTGGGAAAAGGAAAGGAGTCAAAGGTGACCGTGATGTTGTGAATTTGAGTGACTTGAGAGAATAATAATGTATCTTGAAAGTTTATATAAATTATCTCGGTTGATGTTTCGTTTAGCAGAAAGAAAGAAGTTAGGAGGACAGTTTAAATGGGAAGATGATGAGAATGATTTTAGACCTGCTCTGTTTTGAGAGATCATCTGGGTGGAATTGTCAAACAGGCAGTTGAATTTAAGACTGGAACTTTTTCAAAAGAGGTCAGAGCTGGAAATATAGATTTGGGAAGTTATCAGTATAGTATCGATAACTGAAACTGTCATAGTAAATGAGACCACCAAAGGAGAAAGAGCAGAGAAAGAAGACGAGGGCAGAAGACATATCATGGGCATATCTACAGTTGGAAGTAGAAAAAAAGAAAGGTGAATACAGCACAGGAGACAGAATGAGAAGTAATAGGTGAACCAGCATAGTATATATTCTAGTATTGTGTAAGCAATGGGAAGAATGTATATGAAAAGAGGTGGGTGACTGGTGTCTAGTTCAGCAAGGTCTGGGAGAATGAGTTCAGTGCTTAGCGAGGCATTGCTGACCTTGACCTTAGTTGGAGATGTTTTACTAGAATAATGGAGACCAAAGCCTGGTTACAAGATTGTGGAGAGAGAAGTAGATGCAGCTAGCATAGGCTACTCTGTCCAGAAGTATGTGGTTAAAAAGAAGGAGCGAGCTAGAATATGCTAATCTAGAGAGGTTTAGTGTGCTTGAGATTTGAGTGTGTTTGTTAACAGGTGAAAAAGTGGGGAGAGAAACTGAAGCTTATGATCTATAATGAGTTAATTTTTATGTTTTTTTATTTTTGTTGCGTTTGTTTGTTTTTTGAATAGTGAACTAAGGAGCCATTCCAAGTTTTTAAAATTCAGGAGGCAAATTCTTCCTTTTAGAGGCTCACTTAAATGATTGCTTCCTTTTTAAAACTGCTTATCTACATTCTGTATATGTATGCTAAATCAAGATTTTCTCCCTAAGCTGAAGGCATTGACTAAGTTGTATTAGTTTGTCAGCTATTTTTTAAAAAGAATAATTGGGAAATTTCTTATTGGTAATTTCAAGGTGATTTAATTAATTAATTGTTATTACAGAAGTGATCTAAACACTTGATTTAGATAAAAACTTAGATTTTCTAAGTTACAAGTAGCAAATAGAAATCCTACCATGACCATTAGATCAGAAACACTTTGTAAACTCTTTTTAGGATCATCATCTTTTCTCCCTTTGAGGGTCACCAACCAACCTAAACAATGACTTTGGCTGGAAATGAGATGGAGGCAAATGGGTTGGGTCAAGGTTGGAGAAGAGAAGCAGACTAACATAGTATTTTGCTGTGGCTTAATTTTTTTTTATATGGATGTGCTTTGGAAGGGAAAAGGCTTAAAAAAAAATTGAGCCTGAATACCACTTTATATTAGTATAATTGCTGTACTATTATTCATCAGAAAAAAATGTGACATTTTACATAGGAAATCAATCAATAAGTCTGACATTATGTTAGGTGCCTTGTAGTACATTTTATAACCCAAGGTTCTTGTACTTGTTAGGTAGATAAAAATTTACATAGATAAAACAACTGGCAAATAAGATACTATACTGTCAAATAATAAACTATGTGATGTAGCCATAGTACTGTAGTAATTGAGAAGAGAAGAAAATTTAATGTAGCTTGGGATCATCAGTAATCTTTCACTTAATCTTTCACCTTTATGAGCCTAAGTTTTCTTATCTTGGGGATTCTTAACCTATATGATAGATCCCTTTGGCAGTCTGGTGAAGCCTGTCAACCCCTTCTCAAAATGATGGGTTTTTTAAGAATAAAAATAAATAAATATATAAAACAATAACAATGAATTGAAAATGATAAATAAAATAAATAACTACATAAAATTAAATAAATAAATGAAAAGAAAAAATAGAATAAAAAGAAAAAGAATAAAATAAAATAAAATGCACAAGATCAGAAAGGAAACCTTTGTAATTAAAGGATTAAAATACAGTCCTCTTGAGCTCTATCCTCCCATTCCTTAGGGCTTCATAGATTCTAGCTTGAGAATTCTGCCTTATCAAAAAGGCGAGAAAAATTATAGCAGTCTATTTCCCTGTCAGGGGAATGAGGAAAATGATTTGTAAACTTTTATATAAATATAATTATGTATTATGAAATGAAACATTTATATGAAAGCTTTTTGTAAATTGAAAGCACTTAGAGATTTTCATTCATTTGTACCTTTAT